ATGTCAGAAAGGTCATCGTCTCCCTCCCAGAATATACATTTCTTTACAACGCCCTGGTATCTCAGTCCTAACTCCTCAGCAAGACTTTCCTTCATTACTTGTTTGCAGGCCTCGAGACGTTCTATACGCTCACTATCTGCGTGTTGTCCGCTTTCTGCTGCATTGCCGCTCTCGTGGGAGCAGACGGGCTCCAAAAGTAATCGAGAGCGGCCTATTTCGAGCAGGACGACTCCAAGGCTAAATACAACACAGCTCTTGAGCTTTGAACTTTGGTCATTTGTCACCTTGGTTTTAGTATCAGTGGGCTGGTCCTGGCTGATTGCGTTGAATGCAGCGCGCACATAAGGCGACCACTTCTGGTTTTCTTCGCGAATTAAAACCACATCGCGACTCCTCAATCGTTCCGTAATCCACGGAGATGAATGGTGTTGAAGTAAGGACAGAGACAGTGAGAGTTTGGACTAATCGGACTCGATCCACAGCCAGCTGGGAGATTCTCCATGACGATGAGTCTGCTTCCAGTCTTCAGATTCTGACAGAGAAAGCATCGATTGTCTCATCAAAAGAACTTCTCGATGGCAGAGAGGAAGATGATAGGGACAGGGACACGAAAGCCGTGCTCGATTACGAAACCTTTATTGAGGAATTTTCGGAACTTATCCAGGCCCTATTGCAGTTGACACCCTCGCTGATGGATCTACAAGAATCCTTGATCCTCACACCACTGGCCGAGAAGGTCAAAACGAGGACTTCGCAGCCTGAGTTTCGGCCCAAACTTCCTCACGACCACTTTAAAAGGATGATATTTGAGAAATATACGGATGCTCAGCCTGGACTGGTGGATCGCCTTGCTCAAGCATGCTGGAACTTATATATCAGCGTTAAGGACGGTCTCATCCAACGAGAGAATACAGCACTGGAGGACAAGGATTCGGCATACGAATCGATGTTCCAGAGCGAAATGGCTCCATCCCTGATCGGCAAGTTAGCAAACCAAGAGATCCAAGTATGGGACAACGCTTCGGAAACAACGAGTCTTGCTAAGGACAGTGTCATCCTCAGAGACAGGCTAAAATTTCCACAACCTCCAGTAGATATTGGACCAAATATTGACTTTTTTTGCAATATTTGTTCCAGGTTACAAAAAGACATATCAAACACATTCTTGGAGGTACGTTTCACCAATTTGATCCGGTTCTAACAAAAATCAACGAGCTCGGCTGAACTGGCAATAGAAAATATGTATTTGCCGATATTCGACCGTATATCTGTTCTTTTGGTGATTGTGGCTATCCAGACAAGCGGTTCGCGACTAGATCGGCTTGGATGCAGCATGAGTATACCTTCCATCGCCAACACTCTGAATGGCGCTGTTTATGTCGAACTTGTCCTGCCTTCCTCAGTGAAAGCGAAATTTTCGCACATTTGGTTGACAGCCATAAAATTTCCCTTTCTGTGGACTCTGTATTATTATTTATCGCCAAGTATTGTCGACGACGGGTTTCCACTTACATTGATGCCAACATCGAGTGTCCTATCTGCCTTCACTCGGTTCCAAACCAGAGATCGAAGATTGGTCGCCATCTTGGACGGCATATGGAGGATATTGCGCTTCCCATACTCTCTATGGGTGTGGCTACTGATGAACTCACTGATTCTGCTGAAACGTTGGACGAGGAGTCGAGCTCAAACAATGAAAGCCCTGTACTATACCCTCATTTGGCCAGCGACGACCACACTTCTGACCAGCTCCATGGAAAATCCGTCGACGGCCCCCTATCCCAGGGTGACATAGTGCTAATGAGCTACCTGGATCCTAATCGACCAGACATAGCTAGAGAACTTGGCTCGCATGCCCTAGAATCTGCCTCTGTATCAGAAGTCGAGGTAGAAGACGACAGAACGAATTTCGATTCCGGTTCTTAAAAGCCAGTCCGCTGTCCTCACCGTGGATGCGGTAGTACCACTTTCGCGACCAGATATCTACTAAAGTACGTTAGCCATAACTTTCTAAAGTCTCTCTTAACTAACAAAATTCTACTACGGTCAGTTCCCACGCCAATGTGCACACGTCACGAAGCTACTTCTGCCCAGTGGAGTCATGCCCGCGAAGCGCCTGTGGCAGAGGATTTAAAAGAATGAACGAGATGATACGCCATGGTTTAGTTTACGCGTCACCAGGTTATATATGCCCCTTCTGTGCAGATCAGGATCATAAGTATCCTGGGCCCGACAATTTGCAAAGGTACGTAGCCCTCTTCTTCTTTAGCTGACAGAACGTGGCGGGGAAAAAAATAGGCATGTAACAGCCCACCACCCCGATAAAGACAAAAATAATCCGGCACTCCGAGTAGTCTTAGCAGCAGAAAGTGCGGGCTTCACAGAGATAGACGTAGAAGAATTGGAATAGATACTAAGAAGGAAGAAATCGGACTCGGTTTAGATCCGACAACGATTCCAAAATTAGTAAGGGGCGTATCGCACGATCTTCCTGAAGGAAAAGAGAAGGCGATGGACCCGGAACAAGAACAAAAACTGACGGTGGAAGAGCGGAGGGGAGAGGGAACTGGAAACGCTGAAACGAAAGATTAGAAAGATTGAAGTCAATTGCAGCTAGCTGAGACGAATGGAAAGATAGGAAGAATCTCGCAGGATACTATAAGATGATACCAAAAATGGTTTGGGGCTTGCATTTTGTTCATGGTAAATGTAACAAGCGGAGAATGAAGCTTGATCCTCTCGATTGACGACCTGCCCGAGGCGAAGTATGCAGGTTGAGATGTGGAAGACGCATAGAGACAAATTTGAAGATGGATCGGGTGTTTTGAGGCAGAGTGGAGAGACAGAAGGCTCGCATGGTCTGGTCAAGGCTTTACACGAGTGCGTTGGAAACAGATGCAAGGGAATGGAAAAGCCGAGGCTGGTGTCAAGAGATCGTGGCCGAATGCTACAACTCGCTCAAAACCAATCACCATGCCCGCCAACAGAGGTATCCTAATTTTGAAGGACCCCTCGACCCTCAATTAAGCAGGTCTTTACAATGAAGCGCAGGATAAATTCGAGCTTTCAGCCAAAAGTCGAATCGAGGATCATCGACCTACCTTGACTATTTTCAAACCCTAGATACGTACCGTCAAATTTTGAGGTGCTAGTTAGGTTGATTCCATCATGGATCCCGGTTGGAGATCTGTCAGCGCGTGGACCCGCGACTTTTTCCTCCGCATTGCTCACTTTGCTTACACATCCATCCATAAAATAGCCGTTGATACGTAGTATACCTCTCCTACCCGTCCTTTGACCATCTACTCTTTACGACATCAAGATCTTCTCAAGCGCCGCAGCCATATCTGCGAATCCCGAACAAGCGCAGTCCCAATATACCATTTAGGCGCAACAAGGAGGCCTGCGGTCAGGTTACCAGTGTTCGGAGGGGGAGGCATCATGGGCGGACAGATATCCAAGCTTCTCTCGAGTTTAATATGGGCGAAGAAAGAGATACGGATATTAATACTGGGGTTGGTGAGCAAGAATCCTCGATCCTGCCCGCCAGACCGCAGCTGAGACTTGTTTTCTCTTTTGGATAGGACAACGCCGGAAAGACTACACTTTTATACAGATTAAAAGTACAGTACACACCACGAAACACTGTTACGCTGGTGTTTTCTCCGGCTGATCCGTGGCGGCAGATAGGCGAAGTGGTGACTACAATACCAACAATTGGCTTCAATGTCGAGTAAACTACTTCCTCGTCCCCTTTTCCACCACCGCCACCACCACCGCCACCCCAGAATAACTGACTCCCGTCCTCCAGATCCGTGACATACGGCAACCTCAACTTTAACGTCTGGGTATGCTCTCCCCAAGCCTCTCTCCAACTCCTTTCCGATCCAGCCCTCCATCCTAACCAAGCCAACCCCACCCCCAGGACCTCGGCGGCCAAACCTCCATCCGCCCCTACTGGCGCTGCTACTACGCCAACACGGCCGCGGTGATCTTCGTCGTCGACTCGACCGACATCGAGCGCCTCGAGATCGCCGCCGACGAGCTGGCGTCGATGCTGAACGAGGACGAGCTGCGCGAGGCGGCCCTGCTCGTCTTCGCCAACAAGCAGGATCAGCCCGGCGCGCAGGGCGCGGGCGACGTATCCGAGGCCCTGAAGCTGGCCGAGCTGAGGGATCGCAACTGGAGTATCGTGGCTTGTTCGGCCATCGACGGCAAGGGGATCACTGAGGGCATGGATTGGTTGGTGTGAGTTACTTTGCTTTTCCCTCTTCTTCTCTGACCACGTTTCTTGTTGGGGAGGGGTGGGTGCGAAACAAACTAACTTTTCATGCGCGACAGGCAAACGGTGAATTCGGAGCCGTGACGTTTTATGGTAGTTTAGCAAATGATAAGAATACCCCCCTTTTTTGATACCATGATTTGAGTCCAGGCTAGCACAATCGCTGCTGGTTTGATGCTGATGCCAAGGCGAAGGAACTCTGGATTGAATATGCCTCCATGAGGTTTACAATGGCCAAGACAGACCGTCTACCCCGGCTCTCCCTCCTGAGCATTGGCCGGCCACTGGAAAGGCCGCTGATCACACCGCTGTAATCTATATCAGATGAGACGAATAGCAAGCAATTGCGAGTGGGAGACGATGCGTGGGGAGGCCTATGGAATATTAGAAAGCTGAATGCAGCTCGGCGGATGTTGGGTTCCTGAGGAAGAAAGTGCAGGATATCGCTGCTGGAACGAGCAGGCAATGTTCTGTACTTGCATTTTCGCACCGTAGCAGTAGCTCTGCAGTATCTACGATAGTATTTCCCACCCAAGCTCCTCATGGCATGAACCACTGTCCAGTCCATTTCATGTTCACCCCCTCGGGAAACCCATAGTGCATCGCATCCCTACCGTTTCTTAACCTCAAACGCCCAACCTTCAATACCTTCGCCTTTACTCCCTACCGGAATATCCAGTTTCACGTTTTCCATCCCAATGGTTCCCTCCAGAAATTCTTGATTGCTCATGCCGCCCGCGTTCGCCCGCTGCTCAGGTAGAAGCTCCAACATTGGTGTCAGAAATCTTGCGATTTTGTTCGCTTCCTCCACGCTGAAATGATACTTTTCTTTCAATACGTCGGGTAGCGCCCAATGCCGGAGTCGATGAATATTCCGAAGCTCACCCTTGCGATTGAAGATTTCTTGCGACCATTTACCAGAAAGGCAGAGAGATTTGGGAAATTGGCCAAGCAATTCGATAATTTGGGCGATGTGGTCGTCATCTTTGCCATACTTCGTACCGGATTGTGGGTCAAAGAGGTAGTCACCGGTTATAAGCTCGAAGACCTGGACATGTAAGAACCGGGTCAAAGCATAGACCAAATAATTTACTTACCATAGCTGCCATACTCCACACATCGGTGCTTGCACCCCATTTGGCACCAAGAATGACTTCTGGTGAGCGGTACTGCCTCGTCTGGATATCGTTCGTAAAATGGTGGCCGACCCAACAGGCATTTCCGAGATCAGCGATCTTAACCGAGATAATCTCCTCTGCCAGGTCGTCACTGCTTTTCGAGTCTTGCGAGGATTTATTCTCAAGGGATACGCCTGCGAGGTCCTTTTCCAGGGGATCACTAAGAAAAATTTAGAATGTCCTCGAAGCCCATCGCGATGCGGGAAGGCAAACACTCACGTCGTTTTCTCTCGTTTCTGCCTCTCCTCTTCAGCTTTCTCACTGGCATCCTTGATTCCCAGAAGGTCCTTCATCGAAAGGCCACCAGCGCTTTTAGAACCTATCACTTCGAATTAGCATAGACCTGTAGGGAGGAGAACCACAGCATACCTGAATGCTCATTGATCATCTGATTCAGGCTGCTATGTGAATGCATGCCACTAAGCTTGTCTAGATTGCTGAAACTTGCATTCAGAGGACTAGGAAGTGGTTGGCTTCCGGTAATCAGCGTTCTCCTTCTTCTTCGGCCGTTTCGATTGTCCTCTTTTCCATCCTTCTTCTCTTCCTTAACGAATGTTTTGACTGTTTGTTCCACATCACCGATCTCTATCAGCACGTTCTCGGGCTTCAGATCTGTGTGGATAATGCCGCAATCTCGGTGCAAATAGTCCAAACCAAGCAGGACTTGTTTGGTAATCTGCTTGACAAGAGGCATCGGTATACCACGGTGGTTCCATCGTTTGATAAGACCCAGCAAATTCTCGCCCAGCACTTCGAAAACCATGCAGACGTGAACACCGTTAGGGCCTTTATGCTCGAAAGAATCTAATAAGCTCACGACGTGTTTTCGACCGGGATGATTGGGATTGGCTTGTACTATTTGATTGAGCAGCTTGATCTCGTCTATTGCAGTCTCCGTATAGTGTGCTGCAGATCGTACAACTTTCAGAGCGACATGCTTGCCTGTAGCTGTATCCCGAGACAGCCAAACCGTTGAAAAGTGACCCCACCCAAGTTTTCGAACGACGACGTATTTGCCATTATTGTAGGTTTCGCCAACAGAAACAGGATGATAACCACCCTTGCAGTAATCTTCCGAATCTTCTTCGTCAGCGGTGGCTCCAGCGGTCTCATCTCCGGAGCTCGACGATGAAGGCGATCGACTGATGTGGGTGCCATACGACGCTGCCTTTTGGTGTGAAAGAGGAGAATTCATCATGCTGCGAAGAGAGCTGTCAGCATTGCAGCAAGCATGTTGCATACATTAGCGCAACCAAACTCACCCAGCTGTGTGAGTACCTGGTGTGTTATGTGGCGCCTCCACTGCAACCGGTCCATCTGTTGTGATTATTGGTTTTAAATTTTCACCCTTTCTCCTCTTCTTCTGCCCATTGCTGACATTGGCAGTGTTTGTGGCCGCATTCGCAACTTTCTTGGCTTGGTTAATCGCTTGTTTCTTGATGTCGCTACCGTTCATCATAGTGCTGGAAGTGTTTTGTACCTCCAGAGCGTGCAGCGCAGTGGAACGGAGTGAATGTTATTCGATGAGTCTGAGATTGGGGCAGTGCTGCGGAGTGATGGCCGCGGGAGATTCGACAGTTCGGTTCGCTGGATACTGGAACGATGGTGGAAAGAGCAATCATGCGTATGAATCGCACCTCAATATTCACAATCCACGAAATAGTTGAGCTTTGTTGAATCCTTCTATACGATCCTAAGAAAAAGAGTGGCAAGGAAAGGAAGACGCCCAGCCCTGTATGTTGCTCTGGACCAATTAGGATGTGTGACGGGAAACCGTGAAGGAGTAGCGAGCCCACAGAAGCTTCCACGACGAAATAACTAAGTTATTGTCGTAATAAAGAACGCATCATCCAGCAGATTCCAACCTGACTGAAGAAGATGGGCAATGATCCGAGAGCGGAGTTTGCGGGATAGGGATGGGGACGGGGACTGCGGTGTGAGATGATGGTGGGATGAGGATGAGATGGCGGGAACCGGGGGGGCTAGAAGGAGCTTCGATCTGGTTTGTTGACAGGGAAAACCGTCGGACACCTCTGCAGGCCTATCACAGACTGCATATACTCCTTAGCCCAGGGACCAATTCTTCAAGGAGAAGTGGTGCAGAAAGGTGGAGGTTTCGTATGTCAAAAGACGTGACGAGTCGCTGTGGTGGTGGGGCCCCACAGTACAGTACTGGTGTATGTAGGGTGATGGACCATGGATGGTGGATGGGGGATGATGGATGACGGATGATGAACTCGAGCTTGATTTTGTAACAATTTACAGGTACAGAACTGATCTGCAGATTGGAGATTCAATGCATGATGCCATCCATCACAATGCCCATTGGGTCTGGATATAACTGGTTTTGAGCCTCTGAACACGGGAGTGGGCATAACTGGGTTCAAACATCATTCTCTTGTACATGCTCGCGCTTGATGCCCAAGAGGCTCTCTTGCAGTATCTCTGCACATTGACCTCCCTTCATCGCCTGCAGCGTATCCCAATTACAGACATGACAACATAAGGCCGCCCGTTTTGCGTAACTTGTGGAGAACGTAAGCATAATGGGCCTCCTTTATCCTCCGTCTCCTTTTGCGCCTCCAACTATAACTCAACGTCTCCTAACTACTCCGCTCCGATTCCTCTTCCATCTCGCCTACACGATACTGCTATATCTTCGTGGCCCTTCGTATTCTCCGCCTCCCAATGTCGATCCTATAAAAGTGGTGTGCATTTCTGATACACATTGCAAGAATCCTCTCGATTTCCTCCCGCCAGGAGATTTGCTCATTCATGCAGGCGACCTCACCAACCTTGGCACAGTCGCAGAGATCCAACGGCAGATTGACTGGCTGAAGTCTATACATGGTGCCATCGTGAAGGGTGGGTTCTCTGAGATCATCGTCATTTGCGGCAACCATGACAGCTACTTCGACGTGCGATCTCGATCTGGACACGACCGGCAACAAAAGCAGAAGTTGGATTGGGGTCCAATCAAGTATTTGGAGCACTCCTCTACTGCCGTCACGATCCATGATCGAACATTGAATGTGTATGGTGCGCCGCAAATACCAAAATGTGGAGGCAAAGAATTTGCTTTCCAATACCCTCGTGGACAGGATGCATGGAGCGGTACCATTCCAGACGATGTTGATGTGCTGGTGACCCATACACCACCAAAGACTCATCTCGACATACCACTTGGTCCAAATGCTGGCATGGGTTGCGAGTGGCTTTTGAAGGAGTGTTGGCGCGTGAAGCCAACACTACACGTTTTCGGCCACGTACATTCCGGATATGGTATGCAAGCTGTATGGTGGGACGAAGCGCAATTCAGGCATGAGAGAATTATTTCAAGACCGCCTGGAAGCTTTGGTGCTCTAGGTGAAGTTTTCGACTTTCGGCTGTGGATCGAGGGTGCCAAGCTTCTCTATCAGGGGGCAAAGGGAGTCTTGTGGACCAAATTCTGGGGAGGCACTGCCGGAGGCGGTGTGATGATCAATGCTTCTCTAACCTGGCAGACAACGGACAGGCTGGACAACGATCCGCAGGTGGTGTACTTATAAATTGCTTTTACGGAGGAGCATCACCCTTGCAGTAACCGTGCTGGTACTGGCTATATCATGCAGATTGGCCGAGCTGTCAAAGCTGCGGCAGGGCAGCAATGGAATCACCACTCCTTGTCATTGGGATCTCTGATTGATTTGAAAGACAAGGCACGTGTTGTATGCAGGCATTGCTCCACAGATTACTCTCTCTACTTGGTATGACCACCGTCACCAATATTCAGATCACAGGGAGTCAATCATTACAATCATAGCTGACTTAGTTGACCATACTGCATACCCCCGATTTGCCTGAACAGGAAAGTGTTCATAGAAGCCTACTATTCATGACTGGCAACAGAAATACATGCTCATCGTTCACAATCACAAACACAAGGCGGCTATGGCGATCACAATGGTGACCTTACCCTTTACTACATTCGCTGTCGTTTGTCTTTCCTGCAACCATTTCTACCACCGAATTTGATTTGCAAACGAGCCGGCCTGTACATCTCCCTTTCTTCAAGCCTTTATTCAATACTGCTTGATCCCGCCTATCCATTGTCCACCCTCCAACAACAGCAAGACCTCTCATAACACATCACGCACTCCTCTGAACATTCACACATTCGCTAAAACCACATTATTACCCACCCGAGTCCCAACCCGCAAGCCTACCACAAACCTACCTACAATCCACAATCTCCAACTCAACGAACCCTCCAACCCCACCAATTCTCCAACATCAAACCACAACCTTTCAAACGCCTTTCCAAACAATGTGCCAACTCCTAATCACCCACTTCAATGGCTGCCCACACATCGACCACATCCCAGGAGAGCAGCACGAAATTCCCATCTACTGTCCCAACATTGTGTTTGTCGAAGGGGGCATCAGCACCAAGCATGAGGCGTGTTGGGTGTGTCGGTATACTGCTGCGAGGGGCGAGCAGGTGCAGGAGGAGGGAGGGAGGGAGGGCGCTGTGAATAGTACAAGGGAGGAGGAAGGCGAGCAGAAGGGAGAGGGGGAGCAGAAAGAAGAGGAACAGGGAAACAGGCGGGGAGAGGAACAGGAAAAGACCACATAGATGACTAATGGAATCCATTCTATGACGCGGTAACCACTCATCTCGAAACCAAGATCCACACTCCTTCATCAATCTCATCACAAGCTGCATCTCGAGCACCAACCAAACTCGTATACCCAAGCCCGCCTCAACCCCACTTATCCAGCAGGCACATGTGAAGGAGAAAAACAACAAGACCAGAAAGAAGCCACACGTCTCGGGCTGCGAGCGTGCTCCATGTCACCTACACATATCTTTCGCGGATGAAGTGCAGGGTATTAGAGGGGCGAAGAGATGGAAAGTACCATTCCAATTTGGAAGGGAACATAAAGCAGAGAGTTCTCTATGCGCGTGTGTGGATATGTACATCAAGATCTTGCAGATCAAAGTCCAAGCCAAACCATAACCACAACCATCACCAAATCATCGAACAGGCATGCTTCCTACTCCCAGAGCCAATTCATCTTGCATAGTTCAAATGATCGAAGTGGATGTATGAGATGTCCGCAGATTGAGATAGGATATCAGAATGGAGTAGAGTAGGGTAGAGTAGAACTGAGCTGAGCTGAGGTAAGTAGAGTCGAGTAGAGTGGGGAAAAAGAAAGCTGAATACCGTAGTCAAGAAAGCCCCCGACTCGGTTCAGATCAGATCAGATCAATATAGATCCGTGACGCGTCTCGAGAAGCCGCGGTGGCTGCACCAATCGCACTACCCATCCCAAGGCGAAGAAGTCAGCCCAATCCGACCAGATCGGATGTAAAGTGGAGTAACAAATAGCCCGCTCGACAGACCAGCCGTCCTCCCCCAGCCTATCGGATCCCAAGCTCTGATCATGCAACCGAGAGACCGGGGTTAGAGGAGTCCATCGAACCAGCCGCCTCTCAACAGCAAAAGCCAAAAAAAACAACAAAAAACAATAAGCGACCCCGAGGATTACGCAACAGAGAGACTGGGGTCAGAGAAGTCCATCGAACCAGCCGCCTCTCACCAGCAAAAGCCAAAACAAAAACAAAAATCAAGAAGTGACCGCTCGGAGGTAGCCGTGATTGATGAACATACCAAGATCTCATCACAGCCGTCGTTATGGCGTACACAGTAGACGCCTCTGCATTTGCGGCATTTGCGCCGGTAGATGTCGAGGCAGGGAGCGCAGAAGAAGCCGCACTCGTAGCAGTCGCGCGAGATGGACACGCTGTTCGAGATAGTGCTGGTGGATGGCTAAGAAACAAGCGCGCAGGAGAAAAGCATCAGTCAGCGTCAGAACCGTGGAGAAGGAAAGGGAGGGGGGCAAAGAAAAATCACAAAATCGAAAAAAAAAGAACTTCGAAATATATTGGCTGCATGGATAAAGGAAACGGCGCTGAAATTGTTGAGCTGCGAGAGAAAAAGGAGTTCGAAATATGGCCAGCCCTGACGTACATGGTATGAGTACGGGGTATTGGTGCAGGGGAGACTTACCTGTCCCCGTTGCTGTTTGCTGTCTTTGTAGAGGCAGTGCAAAAAAGTTTGAATCCCACTCTGGTTTTGACAAGACACAGAAAAAGAAAACAATATCATCCCCACATCGCACCGTTCCCCGCCGCCACATCCTCACTAAAAGCGCAATACTGAGTACAGAGACCATTATATACCTTGATGATGGTGTTACTTGCACCCTCTGCCCTCTTCAATTCCTCCGCCACAGCACCAGCATCACCCTCCTCATGCTCGGCCTGGGCTTCCAACTGCAGTGCCCGCTTCCTTCTCTGCGGATCATAGCACCTGCCGCACCAGTACCGATGGCAGCACTGACAATGTCTGTCACTGAGACACCAGGTACAGCCCACCACCAATCTCTGCTCCTGCGAGGAGCCTGGGATTGAAGGAGGACGCACGGCATCAACCAGCCGGCCTGAGAACGGAGGAGGCGAGGCTAATGGGAAAGCTGTCACGTCGCTTTGACCCCAAACCGGCGCGTCGTCGGGAGCCGCCCCACAGCCCGCGCAGCCACCCGAGCCCAGGGCATACGTGGCTATGGGCATGGTCATGGCACTGCTGGCGAGGTAGGTGTTCATGGCATCGGAGCGGTAAGGCGCCATCTCCGAATGCATGTGAGTGCAGAGGACAGCGTCAAAGGCTATTATGCCACTGCACACACGGAGGGTTTCTGCCCAGGTATTGGGTTCGAGGATCAGGAGGGGGAGGACGAGGCCGGTGGGTGAGAACCAAGGATTCGGGTTTGACTGAGGATAAGTGGTTGTAATAGTGGGCGGAGATGTAGTTGATGCGCCTATCTGGGCTCCCAGCAAAGCAGTGACACCACCTTCTCTGCTGGCGGAAATACGGCTCTGGCTCTGCTTGGCCACAGCCTCGTTCGTGCCAAAAACATAGACACCCTTGAGTCGAGGAGATCCCTCCGGCCTACCGGGCCGACACATGTAATGCAAAAGCCTCTGAAACTTGCGCTGGTTGAGGTTCTTGCATCCAATGACTGACAGGATGCGTACGTTACATTGATCCGACAAGAGGATATCCGAAAGAACGTCATGGGTCACCGATCCAAGACCATCCAGAACCAGAGTCTGAACATCCTTCATGACCCCTATCTTAGACAGCTTCGTGTGGATGCCACGTAAAGGCCCACTGTAGAATTCATCTTCGGTCAGATTCTCGTCCAACCGTTCGGCACGCCAACTGTGGCCTCCCGAATCGACGGGCATGACTGAAGGAGGAACATAAGCACCTCGACACCTGTGGAGATCCAGGAAGCGGAAGACTCTTGGGGTCTCGTAGATAAGCCTGTGGAAGGCCGTGGACACCGCCGAGAGTCGGAGGACGGTTGGAAGGGCCAGGTAGGGAAGTGTAGCATCCAAGACCAGGGTGTTGGAAAGCAACTCCAACAAAGTAGGAGGAAGCTGGTGCTGAGAGCCGACCTCCATTTCCTTATGTCTGTCAGAAGATATGGCTATCTTCCTGATAGTGGGCAGCAGTGAGGTGTCCAAGGCGAAAAATATCAGTGGATCTCTAATATAATGGTTTAAATGGAGCAATATCTATGAGTGAACCGCCATCATCCAGGCCTTATAACATAGTGAATCGGAGAATCCAGTCATAGGATGGACAATCACGAACTGGACTACTCTTCACACATTCAAGACGTTTGTACAGTGAGTGTCGTGGAAGTGACGATGGGCGCCCCATCAACATTGAAAATTGGATTTTAGCCGAATCGGGTAGGTCAACTCAACAAATATACCATGTAAGTTAGTACTCAGCCAATCACCCATGCGTTGAGCCACCATGAACCTTGTCTACCCTACCATATTCCAAAGGGACACATCAGAAGCAGTGTCAGAGTTCTCTTTCTGCAAGAATAAATTTGGCATCATCTAAAAATAGTGCCGCGCTGACCATGTAATATACTCTAAACACCGATTGTATAACCCTATAACCCTATCCCGATAGAACGCCTCGCTTGCTGCACCGAAATAATAGAATGGTCTTTGCCGGTCGCCCTTCACAACTCTCGGCGAGGAACAGAAAGCTGCCGGCCAGCAGCCATGCTTGACATTCCCGGAGAAGACATGATGGCGAGAGTGTCGCTCGGATCTACACCCATCACATCAAAGCGTGTATATCCCGAGTAGTAGAAGCCCATAATCACCACCAGGTAGGTGAGAATCAGGATACCGCCCTTGAAGTAGTTGCTTTTCCCTTCTCCGTACATATAACTCAGGAGGAACACGCACAGAATCACCGTCACCATGTCGAATTGAGGGAAGATGAGGCTGAAGGTGTGATCGAGCAAGTCGGTCGGATCAATCCACCTTCCATGAATAGCGGAGAAGAGGACAAGGGCAGGGATCTGGAGAAGACAGACCTGCAAAGCATATGCGGATCCAATCTCCATGCTCAGAGCGATGTTGCCATTCATTGCAAACGAAATAGCGTTCAGGAATTCGGTGGTGTTGGGGACCAAGGCAAAAAGCGTGATGCCGAGAAACTTTTCGTCAATATCCACAGACTGCAAAACAACGTCAACGGTATGGACGAGAACTTCCGCAATAAGTGCATAGGCCACCGTGGCACCGCACAAGATGACCGAAGATTTCGTTCTGGACCAATTGGGTGCATCATGACCACCGGCCCCTTCCCCAGAGGCGTGTGCAGCTGGCTCTACCGCCGTGGTAGGTGGATGTGCTTCGATGCTATGTCCATGGCGAATCGATTGAGGCCGACTGGTTTTGCCACCTAGGTAAGAATGCTGAGCATGAAAGGAAGCCCGACGTGGAGCCTTCGTAGCGTCTCGAGCGGCGACAGTGGCTGCTGTAGCAGCTACTTCAGCAACATATGTTGCAAGATGATGATTCTCCTCCTCGGTAAGAGTTGGCATTCCTGGTATGTTAACAGTGCCGTTTCCCCCACTCTTGTTCTTGGGAGGAACAACATGGGGAGTCTCTGTTGTCTCTGATTTGTTATGGTCTATTTCTTGGCTATGGCTGAGAGATGGACTCTTGTGGCTGGATAGTTGATCCCCTGACCGATCTGACTCTGGTACATTCACCCCGAACTGCTTCAGTGATTGACCAAGGATCCTCTTGTAAAGCGCCGAATCACGCACTGAATTAGTGGGTATAAAAGAAGGACTGGGCGCTGCCAACAATTGACCATTCGCTATGCTATGGTGGCGAGTTTCCAAAGGGCTCACCTCTGCTGTAGAAGGCTGTGCAGTTTTTTTCTCTTCGCCCTCTGTGGTCCAAATGACCGCTGCATGTGTTCGCAGGGTGAAAAGTAGACCAATTATGTAAGAGATAAAAAGCATAACGGCAGCGAACCAGCAGTACGGTCGGACGGCATCCACGAAGAAGTCATCGTTGACGGCGGGTATCTGTCGAAAATAGCACCTCCGACAGTCCCGGTTTGGTTCTCCGTCCAGGCTATCTATGGTACTACAAGAATAGCAAACGAGTTCATGCTGCAACAGTCAGCTAGAATCCAGAGATACATTCACCAGGGTCGGTAGACTTACGCTACCATAGATCTTGTAGAACAGCGTTGGGCCGAAAGCTGCAATGACCGCAAATAGTAACATTGTCGACGTTGCGCTGGCAGACTTCACGTTGAATCGCTGTGTCTTTCGTTTGATGGCACCAAAGCACATAGACAAACCAGGCAAGAACAGAATACCAGCAAAAATACTTCCAATGATACTGCCCTCCACGAGTTTTCCCTTGCCCTCCTTCAGAGCCACACAGTAGAGATAGACTTCCACTATTGTGGAGAAAAAGGCATTGACTGCAGCACCCATGCCCATCGAGGACTGGGCGGAGATTGAAGCCACTGCCTGACCGATAAAGTAGGCCAGCGGCACTACCGAGAGAAGACCCAAGCTGAACAATAGTGCCGGACTAGTCAGCCATATTCTGAGGCCGAGTGCTTCACCAAGGAGGAAGAAGTCGACAATCACGAAAGCAACAACCCCGAGCAAGTTGATGAGGAAAACGTTCGTTCCATCGACGGTGTATTTCCAATATTTCGTACCAACAGCACGATACGTGCAGAGAAGAACCGAGGATGGTGATGTGGAGCTTCGGGCGTAGCTGGCATCTGGATGAAATGATAGTGCGAGAGGGTGTCTGCGGAGGTGCGAAAAGAGAATCGACACGACACGAGCCATAGGAATCCAGAACACCAGCATCCAGCATGCCGCAGAGGCAAGAAGCATCAGTGGCGCCACAAAGAAGTAGAAAAGACCATAGAAGACAACCCTGCCGATTGTCCATTGGCCACGACCGAATATCCTCCTCTTGTTTCTGGGAGCGTTGGTGTCGATGCGATCTTGTCTGACTGACCGTCCAAGCAGACTGTCTTGCTCGCTAGCTGAGTCCATGCTGTTCCTACGTCGACCGATGATAGAGCCAGTAGTATGAGTTGGACCAAAGAAGAGTCGACCGTGTTCCAAGTCTCCAGTCTGCCATCGCTCGTATTCACTTATGCTCCTGCCCTCCCCCTCATCCTCCTCTGCATAATTCTGATCAGCTTCCAGCTTGACAAACTGGCCAAAAGGATAGAAGAGATAACGTGCTAAGCCCCAGAAGACTTTGCTGTACTCCAACGCAGTAGGATCTACGGCAAAGACGAAGCAGGCCGCAGCGGATAACAAGCAAGCAATGGCCAACCACCAGCCAAACAGCAAGGTCCACAGAAAATTGAAGATCCAGAGCCAAGTGGTCACGCCAGCGCTGGGTGATGAGTGGATGTCCTCCTCCGCTGTCTTCTCGACGGAACGGTTCTTCTTGTACAGCGCAGGTTTCCAAATTCTTATACCGAAAGGATGTGTTTGGTTAATAGCCAATTGGCGGTCTTTAAGAGTGAAACTTTCAGCATCACTAACATCACCGTCGTCTTCCCCGTCGTTGGCTTCCTCCTGTTCCTGTTCATCTGGTGGTACATCGTCTCCGCCCTCAGTCACTTGTTCTCGTGATTGCATTCGATGTAGAGTCTGTGGCGCTTCCTCTTCTTCGGAATCTACTCTTAATAAAGGTGTTACTTGTGCAGCTGTACGCCTCCTGATGGTGGCATCCTGCTTTCGATTCGGTGGAAAGCCCGCAGAGTGCAATGTCTGAGGTTGTTGGTCGGCCTCGAGCTCAGATAGGTCATCGTCGACCGAAAACTCTTGTCCGCGTTGTGGAAGTGCCCTCTTGGTTGAGGCGCGACGTATTACAGGAGGTTTTTTGGATTTGTTGGAGGTTTGAGGTGACATGGGAGAGTTCAAAGGTGATTGCCCGTCGAGACGAGTCGCAGGGGAATTAGGTACTCGTGGTCCGAGTCTCTGGTTCGCCCTGTCCGCTGCGTCTTGAACGACCTGTGGCTGGGTTGGAGTTCTGTGAAACGTGTTTAAAGACCCTGTGTCAACAAGTTAGTCGGGTTGAAGACCGAAGAACAATGCTACTACCATAATTTGGACTTGGCTGTGAAGGTCTCACGTATCGCGATGATGTATCCCCTTGTCCTTCTTCGTGGACACTGTTCTGCTCCGACGAAGCCCTCGCATTCGGTTCATTCGAAGCCATGATGCTCTGACAGCGTCCCCTGTAAAAGAACAGTAGATCATAGACAATGTCTTATATTTGTAACATGCGAAATGACCGTAGCGCCAACGGTGGCTGTGACCGCGTTAATCAGACAATTATTCAGTCTCTAACCATGGGGGCCGAAGTGGGATTATTGCTGGTACTGTAGGCCAGGAAGCAAGCCCATCGATCAGGAATAAGAGACCTTTCCTACTCAACCACAGCAGAGGATGTCAAAGTGCAGCAGGTAGGAGAAGAACCGATGTCTCCGTGGGAGGTCCGACAATCAAGCAATGTTCAGATGACAGGAATTCTGCTTCGGGTTTCTGGTCCTATGATTACCGTTCAGGTGGCAGCATCATCCTTCCCACTCCCAAGTAGCACGAGATGCCCCTAAACGGCCCCGAAACACCTGCCAAGTTGCCCTTAGGAAAGATCTTCCGAGACTAACAGTTTAGCCAGGCTAAAAGACCAACTTAGGCGCGGTCCTCGCAATTTGATACATACGCCTGCGCTTACATCGTAAATCTAGAGATGTTTCATACCATCTTGGAACAATAGAAAGACTCTCCTGCATATCACAGAGCGCTAGAAAGAGAAGGCCACCATCTTCTCCGGATCCAAGAAACATCCCAAGTAACCTCTACGTCACTTCGTTGTAGCCACCATGGCTCTAGACAGCTTCTTCCACAACAAGATTGAAAGCCTCAAACTTGAGATCATTCAAGGTCAAGCAGTTCTTCGAAGACTAGAAGCTCAACGAAATGACTACAACTCAAGAGTACGGCTATTACGGGAGGAGCTGGGACTGCTGCAGCAGCCGGGTTCTTATGTCGGCGAGGTCGTCAAGGTGATGGGCACCAAGAAGGTGCTTGTCAAAGTACATCCGGAAGGCAAATACGGTCCGACCTCCACCGACCAGGTTTCTGTTGATTTGATACTGATCCTCGCGTAGTGGTCGATATCGCCGACAGCGTCGACGTCACGAAGCTCACAGTCGGTAAACGGGTCTCGTTGCTGTCGGATTCGTATAAGCTGGAAAAGATGCTACCTTCTTCTGTGGATCCACTAGTGTCCTTGATGATGGTCGAAAAAGTCCCCGACAGCACATATGATATGATCGGTGGTCTTGATCAGCAGATAAAGGAGATCAAAGAAGTGATTGAGCTTGGTCTACAACATCCAGAATTATTCGAAAGCTTAGGCATCGCGCAACCTAAAGGCGTGCTGTTATACGGCCCTCCTGGCACAGGCAAGACCTTACTTGCCAGAGCAGTGGCGCATCATGCCGATTGCAAGTTCATCCGTGTATCAGGATCGGAGTTGGTGCAGAAATACATTGGTGAGGGAAGCCGAATGGTCCGAGAACTCTTCGTCATGGCTCGAGAGCATGCGCCCAGTATTATTTTCATGGACGAGATCGACAGCATTGGTTCTAGTAGGGTGGAGGGCAGCAGTGGCGGTGATTCCGAAGTACAAAGAACGATGTTGGAACTGCTCAATCAGCTGGATGGTTTCGAGCCCACAAAGAACATCAAGGTCATTATGGCTACCAACCGACTGGATATTCTTGATCCGGCGCTGCTGAGACCTGGTCGGATAGACAGAAAGATTGAATTTCCGCCACCGACGTGAGTCAAAACCGATTTCTCGAAAACACCAACAACTAACAAGGTTACAGTGTCGAAGCTCGAGCTGATATTCTCCGAATCCATTCGCGCTCCATGAACCTAACCCGCGGAATCAATCTGACCAAGATTGCCGAGAAGATGAATGGCTGCTCTGGTGCAGAGCTCAAAGGTGTTTGCACGGAAGCTGGCATGTATGCTCTGAGAGAAAGGCGGGTGCATGTTACCCAAGAGGATTTTGATCTGGCCACAGCCAAGGTCCTCAACAAACATGACGATAAGGAGGTCAGCTTAGGCAAGTTATGGAAGTAAGGTAACGCGTGAGGATGATGGGTATTTGTGGTTCATCATAGAACAGTTTTGATTGAGGCAGTTGCAGTATGCCTCTACGCTCTACACCGCGCAGGGAGGTCTAATATACACTGCTTCAACCAAGCTGTCCTCCAAGACACCTATGTACGTTCCGGCGATTGTATTGACAATTATACAACATCTCCGTAGACAAGAAAACCATCCTCCCCAGTATTTCTGCAAGTCATGGCACGTCTGGATCGAGCTTGTCCAGAAATTGGCCCTGACCATGCCTGGCGTTGGCCTTCCCGTCCCAAGGCTCCCTTCTGCATGCGAAATTGCGTTGCATAGGACAACTGCAGTAGCTTCCCCTTCCTCCAATCAACAACACTTGCCCTTCCTCTTCGCGCTCTCCTGCGGTTCATAAATATGCTCTCCGGCTTCTCCGATGGTCATCCCCGTCGGCAGGCCCAGCCAACTCCTCCTTTTATCACCCATCCCTACTCGGAAACTCCCACTGCCATCTCCGTTTCCTCTCGAAGAGAAATAATCACTGCCTGGGCCATCATACCCCGGTGTCCTCGTCAACAACTCCTTCTCCTCCCTCTCAATCCTCTGGTTCCGCTGCTCAACCAACTTCCTAGCAATCACCCTGAACACCTCCTCAATCCCCTCGCCATCCTTAGCATTCACCTCATGACAACTATCCCAGCCAACATCTTGTCCCCAAAACCCGCTACTCCGTTTCGAGTCCGGGCTCTGCAACGCCGCCATGCTATGCGGCTGCTGTAACTGCGGCACAAACGCACCAGTCGTCGGCGGCGGTGTCGATGCCTGACTCGGGTACAGCTGCTCCGCCACATATGCGATCGTCTTCTCAAAGGGCACCTTCCTCCTCGACGGATCCTCAGCCACGATATCGCTCTTCGTGCCGACAACATGAATCACCAATCCCTCACCATTGCCGCTCGGGTCTCCGCATTGCGCTTTCAGTTCCCGCAGCCAGCCCTTCATGTCCTCCCAACTCGCCTCGTTGGTGATGTCGTAACAGAGCAGGCCAGCATTCGCGTTTCGGTAGTAAAGACGCGAGATGCTGCGGAAGCGTTCTTGACCTGCTGTGTCCCAGATTTGGAGGCGGACGGTAGTGGCGGTGTCCGGGTCGAGGACGCGTTTGGTGTGGAAGGAGGCGCCGATGGTCGACTGAGGGGCGATTAGGGTTGAGGAGGACGATGGAGGGGAGAGGATTGTAGATGGAGAGATGAAGCGGTTGACGAGGGAGGTTTTGCCAACGCCTTGGGAGCCGAGGACGACGAGCTTGGCTTCGAGGGAGGTGGGTAGGATGGGTGGTGGTGGGGTGAGGGGCTGGGAGGTCGAGGTTGTGTGATTTCGCGGCATGGTGAAGCCGATGTTTGGGTTGGCGATGGTGAGATTCTCTATGCACTATCTCATGGTAGCAGGACGACCAAATCAAGCCCTGTCTTCAAAGTACACAAAGCACGTTCCTTGGGGTTAAGATCACAAAAATGAGGTTGCTGCTAGGCTCTTCGGTGTCCGAGTCCACTCCCAATTTTAACAAAGGTGATCTTTCTCGCTGCGAGTTGTCAATTGATTCAATGCGAGCTTTGTTTCATGGGCATCTCCACTGATTAGCAAGAAATTGAAGCACTGTGAGAGATGTGTATGATGATCTTGGAAGTCAAACCTAGGCACAAGCTGCCTTTTGCGGGAGGATCCCGTCCCCTTTTGCCCGTTTTCTGTCAGCCGCATCTCGAGCATCGATGTCATGGCACATGACGGCTTCTTCAATACTTCATACTGCCCCGTCAGCTGAACCGTGGCCATGGCAAGTAACTTACCGGATCCTCTGAGACACGAGGAATGCGAGGACGTGAAGTCACGCGCTGCAGTGGACTACGAGATTACAAGGGCCACGATTCACCCAGGCTGACCGTGCATAAAATTGTGGGCTGAATCCTTGGCCTACAGCTTGTTTCCCATGTTGAAACCAAAATCTCTAGGTGCATGAACCCTGACAACCACCTTTCCCGGACGTGGTCTGTGGTCTACTCTCCCCTTGTCTTCAGCCAGACAGAGTATCCGTCCTGCTCTCTTATGGAGCTCTTCCGGCTGCCGGATTCGGGGTGAGTGCCTCAACGGTCCCAAAAGTCACTAGATTGCGATCGCCTGGGCGCAAATTGCGGGGCTCTTGATCGCAGGAAGAGCAACGGAGCGAAGACCGTCGTCATGACGGAAAGAAACCATACCAATATCAGGTACTGGCCACGGTCCAACGGATTTAGCCATGGGGTATTCTCTTTAGTTGTCTTGAATTCATATCTCATTTTCATCGCCCTGTACAGTACTCTCTCTACTTTTCTGTCTTTCATTATTGCGCTTTGCTATCAGCACGGTTGGGACTCGATACTCTTTCCTGTTTGGCTACTGGGCACTGAAAGTACTTCACCGCGATGAACCATTCGAATGAGGAGCAGAGCAATAAGCTCAGCGGCGCAGAAGTAGCAAAGCACAATTCTCGAGAGTCATGTTGGGTGATAGTGCACGGAAGAGTATACGATGTCACCGAGTTTATGCCAGGTGAGGAATCCTCATTCCATGTTCTTACCGTTCAATTGGCTCATCTTCAGTCAGAACATCCCGGCGGCTCAAAGATAATCCTCAAGTACGCAGGCAAAGATGCTACGGAAGAATACGAACCTATCCATCCCCCGGACACTCTCGAAAAATACCTAGCAAAAGACAAGCACCTCGGACAAGTCGACATGTCAACCGTCGAAAGAGAAGAAAAAGAAAACGACCCAGAGGAAAAAGCGCGTCAAGAACGAATCAAACACATGCCAATCTTAGAACAGTGCTACAACCTCATGGACTTTGAAGCCGTGGCCCGCAGAGTCATGAAAAAGACAGCATGGGCCTACTACTCATCGGGCGCGGACGACGAAATCACCATGCGCGAAAACCACTCCGCCTACCACAAGATCTGGTTCCGGCCTCGGGTGCTCGTCGACGTCGAGAAAGTCGACTTCTCCACCACCATGCTGGGCACCAAAGTTGACATCCCTTTCTACGTGACCGCCACCGCGCTAGGCAAACTTGGCAATCCCGAGGGCGAAGTGATATTGACCAGAGGCGCCCGCAAACACAACGTCATCCAGATGATCCCAACGCTAGCCTCCTGCTCCTTCGACGAGATCGTCGACGCCGCCGAAGATGGGCAGGTGCAATGGCTCCAGCTCTACGTCAACAAGAACCGCGACATTACGAAGAAAATCGTCCAACACGCCGAGGAACGCGGCTGCAAAGGCCTATTCATCACCGTCGACGCTCCACAACTAGGCCGGAGAGAAAAGGACATGCGTTCCAAATTCTCGGATACAGGCTCCAATGTGCAGAACACCGGAGGCGATAACGTTGACCGGTCCCAGGGCGCCGCCCGAGCCATCTCCTCCTTCATCGACCCGTCCCTAAGCTGGAAAGATATTCCCTGGTTCCTCTCCCTCACCAAAATGCCCATCATCCTCAAAGGTGTCCAACGAGTCGAAGACGTCCTTCGCGCGATCGAATGTGGCGTGCAAGGCGTCGTCCTCTCCAACCACGGCGGCCGCCAACTCGATTTCGCACGCAGCGGGATCGAAGTTCTCGCCGAGGTCATGCCCGTCCTCCGCGAACGCGGCTGGGAACACAGGATCGAGATCTACATCGATGGCGGCGTGAGGCGCGCTACCGATATCATCAAAGCGCTGTGTTTGGGCGCCAAGGGCGTCGGGATTGGACGCCCGTTCCTGTTCGCCATGAGCGCCTATGGGCTGCCGGGCGTGGATCGCGCGATGCAGCTGCTGAAGGATGAGATGGAGATGAATATGCGGCTGATCGGGTGTAGTAGGGTGGACCAGCTGAACCCGACGTTGGTGGATACGAGCGGGTTGAGCTTGCATGCCACCACCGTGCCGAGTGATACGTTAGGATTGGGGGTTTATGATCCGTTGGTGTCTCCGCAGGAGATGGTTAGGGCGAAGTTGTGATGGTGCTTCATCTCGAGAGGTAGGTGGGTCAGGGGAAGGGAGAAAGAGAAGGCAAGAGCGAGGAAGAGGAAGAGGAAGAGGAAGAGGAAGAGGAAGAGGAAGAGGAAGAGGAAGAGGAAGAGGAAGAGGAAGAGGAAGAGGAAGAGGAAGAGGAAGAGGAAGAGGAAGAGGAAGAGGAAGAGGAAGAGGAAGAGGAAGAGGAAGAGGAAGAGGAAGAGGAAGAGGAAGAGGAAGAGGAAGAGGAAGAGGAAGAGGAAGAGGAAGAGGAAGAGGAAGAGGAAGAGGAAGAGGAAGAGGAAGAGGAAGAGGAAGAGGAAGAGGAAGAGGAAGAGGAAGAGGAAGAGGAAGAGGAAGAGGAAGAGGAAGAGGAAGAGGAAGAGGAAGAGGAAGAGGAAGAGGAAGAGGAAGAGGAAGAGGAAGAGGAAGAGGAAGAGGAAGAGGAAGAGGAAGAGGAAGAGGAAGAGGAAGAGGAAGAGGAAGAGGAAGAGGAAGAGGAAGAGGAAGAGGAAGAGGAAGAGGAAGAGGAAGAGGAAGAGGAAGAGGAAGAGGAAGAGGAAGAGGAAGAGGAAGAGGAAGAGGAAGAGGAAGAGGAAGAGGAAGAGGAAGAGGAAGAGGAAGAGGAAGAGGAAGAGGAAGAGGAAGAGGAAGAGGAAGAGGAAGAGGAAGAGGAAGAGGAAGAGGAAGAGGAAGAGGAAGAGGAAGAGGAAGAGGAAGAGGAAGAGGAAGAGGAAGAGGAAGAGGAAGAGGAAGAGGAAGAGGAAGAGGAAGAGGAAGAGGTAGAGATTTAGGGATAGAGAGTACGGAAAGTAGTTGTCATTCTTATTGTACATCTTTACACAAGAGCAATGCACACAGAACACGTACACACATTCGTCTCAAGGTCTGTCTTTCCATCCCCCGTATGAACCAATTGCCATACTCGGACCCATGAGCACTCCCATTACTTTCTCCACACCCTACCTACCTGGTCTGGAAATCTCCCTCTCCACGGCGACATCCCAGCAGCAGGAACAGTGCTTGCTCCGGTCAGATACGAATAAGTATTTTTTTCTGATCTCGACCAGAGACCGGGAATTCACAACTGTACATCGGTCATCAGTGCGGAAACGTGCTTTACGGGGAACTTGTGGATTGGGAGTAATCTGCAAACGATAGCGAGAGGCGAAAAACGGAGTGGGAGGGTCAGTCATCATACGATCGGGCAGGCGTCACTGGGCAGAAGATGTATGGGGCAGATATCATAGCAGAGCATAGCATAGCATAGCATAGCAGATTTGCATGAGAAGGAGAGAGGGGGCAGTGGGAGAGTATGATGGCTCAATAAGATAAGTTCTACTTAAGAGGTTTCTTCTGTAAGACATATTTCTGGTGCGCCACGATGATGGTTAAGGAGAGAGAGGAGCTGGAGTCTCCCTTGAAGACGATCCAAACCAGAAGATGCGACAGCGGAAGTTAGAAACGAGAGACCGTAAGGCAAGGAGAAAACGTCGCACGCATGAATGCTGTCCATGTTTTCGTCACCGGGCATCAAGGTGGCTCGAGAAGCTGATGCAAACAAGCTTCCTGGATGACGGTCATCCAGCCTGATAGCATTCAGCCATCGGGTGTCATTCCTACAATCCACGCGGGCTCAGACAAGTTGAACCCATTTCCATTCCACATCAGACGACCTCAGGGCTTCTCCGTGCATGATGCCATTGACATAGGTGTCGCCTAGCAGTTGGAACTTCAGGTCTTCTGGAGATCCTACGGGCCGAAGCTTGGCGCAGAAATTTATGGGACTTCTCAGATCCCCTTCCTCTCCCCCCCTTCTTCATTCCCCTATTTCTCTACCAATACTCACTCAAATCTAGTGAACAATGGATTCTGAACGGGGAAATAGACGACGCGTCTGCCGAAAGTCTTATTCGATAGATCCTCCTTCTCCTGCACCCTTGCGAACGCCAAAAACGATGCTCGATACGCCGCGCCGTGCGCGCCTCCTTGCTGATGCACGCCACACAGCTGGCAAACTACCTCGTACAGAGCTATTTAAGATACATAATGTACCTAAATCAACTGGCTATCGAATCATTAAAGAAGCAACTGCACGCCGCAGTAAGAGGATACACAATCGAGGCCGAAAACGAGTACTTGCTCCACATGAGTGCGAAGCAATTGAGGCCGTTGAAGATGCTAATTTTGGCTTTGCTTCTTTAAGTTATTTGAAGGTGGCAAGGACAATTAGTATAACTAATAGTTACAAACGTGTAATTTAACAGAATATAAAGGATTTTGGTATAAGGACCTATATAGTTATACAGAAAAAAATGCTTTTATAACTATATATTAATGCCTGAATTATATAGGGATTTGAGTATTAGTATTAGTAATTAGATCAGTTTCTGAAGTATAGATAATGTAATAAGTCTTATTTTGCTACTTGCTTATAAAGACAGGCTCGAATTCATCATTGACCAGGGCTTAAAGCATGAAATGTCTTATTAAAGACCCAGTTTAAGCTTAAGCGGCAAAATCAGTCAGTCCATGTGTACACAGTTATTAGATGGAATTTCAATGGTCAGCTCCACTTCTACACCGGCTCCAGAGTAGGAGGACGTCTCATTCAGAGCGATTATATGACTATTTTGAAAGAAATCGTTGCTCCTGATTAGGATAAAGATTACGTATTAATCGAAGATAATGACAGGCCACATGGTACCAAGGGCAAGGGTTCTAACAAGGTTAAAGCACTCAAGGACCTTCTAGGGATCAAATGGGAGATGAACCCTGCTAATTCGCCTGATCTCAACCCTATTGAGACAATCTGGAGAATAATAAAGCAGCGCTTGAAGTCCAGGGGGGTCATCTTCGAAGAAGCTGTTCTGCGCAGGGCTATCCAGGAGGAGTGGGATAAAATAACTCTGGATGAGATTAATAGGGCTATCTCAACAATGCCAGATAGAGTAGCTGCCCTAAATGAGCGAAATGGGCGTCCTATCCCCTATTAAAGGGGCGTGTAGCATAGCAGCAATCTGAGAAGTCTCATAAATTTCTGCGCCAAGCTTCGGGCCGTAACATGAAAGGTATCTTCCCGCCCGCAGCGATGATGACCACATCTCCTTTACACGTCGAAAATGGACCCGATCCGACGTACCCTTCGTGAGTACGATACATGCGAGGATCGGCCGCGAAACAAAGTCCCACCGTCTGGCTGAATTCTTTAAGTTGGAGTCAGACTTCGAGCCCCCACGTATTGCGAATGAAACTTGGTCAGTATTCCGCTCTGGGTCTAATCCATCTTCAAAGACACCATTATCTTCACAGATTTCCTCAATTTCGTCGAGACGAGGGATATTTCCTGTTGGATCACCCACGGCTAGCTCCTCAAGACTGCGCATTTCGAGGAAACAGTTGCTTCTCAGCCTACCTTTCCAGACTTCCCGCTGAATCGCATTGCACACCGTGCAGGCGAGCCAGTACCGAAACGATACGCCGCACGTGTCAGAAGCCGGATGTAGACTTCCTGTGAGCCCATAGTCCCAGATCAAAGTCCTCCACAAGACCTCCACAGGGTGTTGCCCAGTTCTGTATATCTTTGGACAACTCCTTGTGAACTTCACATATGGTTCTAGGCTGGTGTTGCTGACTTCGGTTGGTGCTTCACCAGTGTCGGCAACTTTGTCTAGAATATGTGCAAGGACATACATAGCTCTGTCACGTATGATCGGGTATTCTGATAGCTTTGGCGGGCCATTCGCGGCGTTGAAGTCTGGCTGATCGCCTAACACAGCGTTAATCTCCCCCAATGAGAGGTGAGAGCCCACCGAGAAATCTATGGCCCAAGACGGCAGATCTTTCACCAGAATTCGACTAGGATCGCTGACCATGCTGAGAGGCAGGAGATTGGACGTATTTTTGAGGATGTAAGTTGTGGCCTCTTCATAAACTTGAGCCACTGATTTGCTATAGTCGGCTGAAATTGGGCACTCACTCAAGTTTCGTACTCGGGCAGCTCTCTTGATCACACCAAGAAGGCCGAACACTTTGTCCCGAGCGTCCTTCGCGCAAAATGACCTTGTTCGCCGGAGGATCATCATGAAAATAGCGCCTGTGTTTGACTGTTCGTGCAGGACGCTTAATTTTGCTTCGAGAGGTAGTCTTGGAAGACTGGAACGAGTTTTGCCTGAAGTAAAATCCGACACCTCTCTGATAATGGCTGTCTTGCCCATCGGAGTAGCCTTCTTCATCTTTGGAAACTGTTCACGTGGCCTCCATGTGACTTTATCATGGCAGCTGGTCTCCCAATGATTGATAGAGGCAGACAGTGTCTCCCAAGAGGTAGTGAAGAATCCCCAACGCACATAGGCTCGTTTAGCGACAGCGACCTCTTGGATAATCCACAACCTCCCATACCATCGCCTAGCCAAGAACCGGTTCAGTGCAGTCTCTTCATCATCATTAAGGTTGGGAATACCCAAAAGCTCATGCTTGTGGGGATGATAGAGTTCTCTAGCCATGTCAAGCATACGTAGGGCTGCGGCATCATGCGCGAAAATGTCAGGAGCGGTTTTGACACAAACAGCTAACTTTCTCAGTACTTCCGTTACCATTGGTGTAGACTCATCGTCTTTTCCAAGCCAGATAAGAACACTTGTTGCATTCTCGTAGATTTCGCACATCATGTTGACTTGGTGAGTCTTCTCCTCCGAGCTTGACTGATCGATGGATATGGCGTCAATCCAAAGGTAGCCTGAGTGACCGGATTTTTGTAGTTGCAGCAGAGCGTCATGAAGATTGAAGGTAACAGTCTGCTTGCCAGGGAGCTTCTGATATGGGAAAGGATGATGAACCTCATGCCTTTCTGTATCCGGGTAATCCTCAAATACAGGATGACCCCAGGTGTAAGAAAGCGCAGTGTATTTGGGATGAGAGCCAGTCTCAAAGATTTGCAGTGAAAGCTCGACAGGGGTCGCTTTATTTGTGATCTTCAAGAGCCGAAATGAGCGCGGCGTAGGCAGTCTGACATATCGACAATTCTCCAACGTCGTCATGTTCTCCTTCTCCTCGACCAGTCAAATAGGGGCGGTGAAAAACGCCTCTGTCTTGCGTAGAGCTGAGGAGCCATTTTCCTACCTTTCAAAGGCATTCGGGGTTTAAGAGCACGCAGAAGAGTAGGTCCGTCTTTCAAAAAAAAGGTAAGAAAGGACCAAAAGGAAACAGCAGAATCCTGCATTGCAGCACGGTCTGCAAGCAACAAAGACCATTCAACATGCACAGCGAACAGAGAATAAGACAGTCTGGATTTCATGATGACAGGTCAGAAATCCTGTCACCTGCGGATAGCTATCGTTTGAACATGGACGGAGAAAGAAAGAAACTCTATACAAGAGATATAAGTAAAAGTAGTAGGTACAGTCTTCATCGTTCGTGAAGGACGTAGCATCTTCAGACACTCTCATTGAGTGATGAATGACCAAAAGGGAATTGGCATCTTCTCAGGATGCAAGACTGTAAAAGGACCATTGGTACAAACTTCTCTATCCAAAGGTCAACGTCTTTATCGGCCCTTACCTGCATCATCTGCACGACAAGCAGGAGATTTTATGGCAGAGACCATGGCCAGCAATCAACAGGTGCTTGAAGCTTGGGAACGGAAAGGAGATTCTCTGAATTCGCAAGAAACTTCTGCTTGTAGCTACTGAAATTGCACCGTTGTCAGGAGGCCACCATGATACATCACCTTTCTGTAAGTACTACGTTAGATACAACTTATGAGCAATGTCATCGTAAACCAAAAGGCCGAGTGGGACTCGGAGTGCAATTAAAACAGAGCAAATGCCAAGCTCTATGTTGACGATGACGTAGTTGGTACGATGTAGCTCTGATGTGAGTTTCTTGCTTTTGGAACAATTGTCGCAACGCCAGTTGATCTTTATTTGAAGAACGGTTCTCTATGGGAGTCTGACCCGTACACATGCACACCTTTACCTTACTTCGGTAGTGACGAGAAAGACTGCGTTGCATCAAACGTCTCAGCTGGAGTGATGGCTTCACCGTCAGCCAGCGCGGAATCCAATCTGGATATCGACTATGTGCTCGTATATCGCTTCTCCCGAGAGGGTAAGTTTGGTGTTCTGCCATTGGCCAGCCTGCCTGCGGCTGACCTCAATGCCACTAGACAAGAACAAAGCAATATCGAATTTCCAGAATCTGATCAGAGCATTAGCCGATGTTGGCCTCGAGACTGAGGTACGAAATGGGGAAGACTCAACACTGCTAGTCTTTGTCAAGGCCGCCGATGAGAAGATATTTAATGAAGTTGTATATCGATCAAGGTAACTCTTGTCTATATCCCCATGCCACCAGCTGATGTACATCCTCCAACAGGGTTCGAGACTGGCTACATGGAGCTCGTCAAGCCCAGCCAGATAAAGGAACTGAGAATGTGCTTACCAAAGAGCCCCTAGTGCCTGCTGAGCGCTTTAGACTAGTTTACGACATGATAACCTCAGAACCCAGTGAAGGTGGAGCCGGCATTACGCCGAAGCATGGAGTATGGGAGAATGTGGAATCAATATTCCCCCTACACGATGTGCGGTTGAACAAGGAGTGGATGACAGAATGGGCTCGCAAGACATTTCTATCGCCTCAAGATATCGACTCTGTCAGGGACAATCTTGGTGAAAAGGTCAGTTTAATACAGACTGTGGGCAGACCAGTATTGCTTACAAGCTTCAGATTGCTTACTATTTTGCTTTCTTGCAAACTTATTTCTACTTCCTGATATATCTCGCCGCATTTGGCTTCTCCTGTTGGGTTCTTCTAGGCTACTTCTCCATGATATATGCGGTGGTCAACTGCTTGTGGTGTGTGGTGTTCGTGGAATGGTGGAAACGACAAGAAGCAGATCTTGCTGTTCGTTGGGGAGTCAGAAATGTATCCGCCATTCAGAAGGGACGACGCGACTTCCAGTACGAGAAGGAGTCCAAGGATCCTATCACTGGCGAGACTGTAAAATGGTTCCCGGCAACACAGCGGCTACAACGGCAGCTCCTTCAGATTCCATTCGTGATACTTGCGGCGATTGCTCTTGGCACCTTGATATGCACCTGCTTCGGCATCGAAATCTTCATCTCCGAAGTGTATAACGGTCCACTCAAATCTGTCCTCGTTTTTATACCTACCGTTCTTCTTACAACTCTCATTCCAACCATCTCCACGTTCTTGACCGGTTTTGCGACACGACTGACAGAGTTTGAGAACTACGAAACAGAAGATGCTTACGAGAAAGCGATGACTTCTAAAGTCTTCGTCCTGAACTTTATCACCTCCTATCTTGGCATTTTTCTGACTGCCTTCGTCTACGTTCCCTTTGCTTCCGTTCTCGTCCCGTACCTTGACATCTTCAGCCTCACCGTCAAACCGTTTGCCGAGAACGAGAAGCAGATGCAGACTCCACCAGCCTACAGTTTCACCATCAATCCTGATCGGCTCCGCAAGCAAGTCATCTACTTCACGGTGACCGCGCAAATTGTCTCTTTCGCGCTGGAGACCGTCGTCCCACTCATTACCCGCAAAGGCACCACGAAGTTCAAAGAGATCCAATCCTCCCGAGCTGAAGCAAAGGGCGGTGCTGCTCCGCCTCCCTCAGCAAACGACCCGCCAGAGGAGAAAGCCTTCCTGGCTCGAGTGCGCCACGAAGCCACCCTTGGCGACTACGACGTCACCTCCGACCTCCGGGAGATGTGCATCCAGTTCGGCTACCTCTCCCTCTTCTCTGCCGTCTGGCCTCTAGTCCCATGTTCTTTCCTTATAAACAACTGGATCGAGCTCCGTAGCGACACGTTCAAAATCACATCCGAGTGCAAACGACCTATTCCACAACGAGCCGACAGCATTGGACCATGGCTTGATGCCCTCGGTTTCCTCACCTGGCTCGGCAGCATCACCACCGCCGCGGTCGTGTACATGTTTAGCAACGACGGAGTAGGACCCAGCGGCCGACCCAGCGACATCAAGCTCTGGGCTCTCCTCCTCAGCGTTTTTGCCTCAGAACACATCTACCTCCTCGTCCGGCTTGCCGTCCGCACAGTCATTTCCAAATTAGACAGCGAAAATATGCGCAAGGAGCGGGCAGAACGCTATATGGTTCGAAAGCGCTATCTTGAAGAGACAGGATTAAGCGTTGACAAGATGACTCGCCAGAGCTTGAGGACGAGGAGCGTCTCCAGCGGTGGTGGGCTGACCAAGGACATTACGCGCAAGAGTCTGGAGGACGAAGCGAGAGAGACTACGTTGAGGGAGAGTACGCCAGTCACGAGGTTCTGGGGGAGGCAGAAGGGATGGGCGGAGGTGGAGCAGGTGGGAGTGAACTTGATTGAGTTGAAATTGGAGGGTAGTGCGGAGACGAAGAAGGGGAGATAGGTGGGATGACAGCCGGGAAACGAGGTCGATGCCGATGCCGAAGCGGGTGAGGGTGGGGAGAGGAATGAAGCATCCAGCAGGCCACCCTGGCCAAAAGCAATCGGCTTCAGTCATTGGAGGGCTTGCGTTGAACCGGAAGAGACAGGACTCCTCTGACCCTGGTGGATACTTGCTATCTTCAACTTCTAGGTGTAGCACTTGATTGATCTTCTTGTGGTGGTTTGAGGGAGCTGTTCTCAGCTTCAGACACATATTTCAATTGTGTGGAGCCTGCCTTGAAATCGGTGTTCTGACTTGAGACCCTCGATCACAGTATAATGTACCGTAGGCATAAGATGCTGTCAAAAAAAACCCCCCCAGCGTGGCTCATTGACGAGTGCTCGCCCGCAGGCTGGGGAAGCAGCCGCGACATGGGCGTTCAAGGGGTGTTCTTCTTTGAAGAAGGTCCTCTTTCGAAGAAGGTCCTCTATCGATCTGGGAGACCCTTAGGGGATTAAGGCACAGCGGTTATGGGCCACATCGTCGGGGTCCTTCTCATAAGAAGAGCTTCGGCTTGAAGACGAGCAACCTTATGTCGTTTTATAGCCTTTGACATGCGGAATATCTGGGTTTGATTAGCCAAAAAATGCTGAAAGCCGAATAGGTGAAATCGCGGCGCATTGCATCGCCCGTCCAAACAGCCTCGGACTCCTCTCAGCGATCAAACCTGACTTTCCTCTCTCTCACACTACTATGGTGACTTTGAGCTTCGACGCACGCATGATTTGCATGGATTTGGAAGACTGGTGTCATAAAGTAATAGGGAAATTTGGATTGGAGAGGACAGTACGGAGTACGGAGGTAGATAAGGGGTGCCAAGTAATTTGCTACCCTGCTTGCATGCTATGTCACTGCAATAAGAGTTCAGTTGAACAGGATCTGCTTTGCGCAATCTATCATTCTTCAGTATCTACTCTGCTGTACTGGAATGAAAATTTTCCAACCTCGCTCCGCAAATTGTAGCCCGAGCTCACTCTCTTGCCCGTAGCCTTCGCGTCCTCGCTCCTCCTCCGCTGCCTCAAACTGCCGGCCAGCGTTGTCCGCGAAGAAGGTGGTCCTCCAATGCCTGTCTCGTTCGGCCAAAGGGTACCTCCAAGCTACCATCTGGACCTGGCACCATGGGAGCCTTGCTCTGTAGCTTATCCGCCATTTTGTTCACCCAGTCCAGCTTCGAGCTCACCCAATTCAGAATGCGAGGTGAAAACATCCCAGGCAGTTCGGTGTCAGACGCTGGCCTCTTCGCTTCGGGGAATGCCGCCATTTTGTTCATACAAACAGCTTCCAAGCATGAGTCAATAGACCTCAAGGCCTTCAGTCCCTCCTCGTACCATCGAACGGCGTGATATGATTGGTACATCGGTGCATGGTGCTCGGCCATCGAGACACACATTTCCACGATCCAGCGTAAGAGGTTCGTGGCAACGGTAGCTATGTTAAAGCGTACACGTATCGTATCTTCTCCACCAACGTAATCCGCCAGAGCCAAGTCTCGAACCTGTGGTATGAAGAGCCCAGCAAATCCGACGAAGCTGTTGAGAGAAGCTGATGCATTCACCCCGTTTTTGAGATTCTCCACTTCCCAGTTGAGATGAAGCTTGATGACATTGGCCAGAACCTCGGCACGCTCCAAAGCAGAATTTGGCATTGTCAGGCCATCTGAGATGATTACCTGGTGCAGACGGCGTTGTTCCGGATTGAGGTTAGCTGGCTGGATTGCTGTGCGTGTATCTGTTCAAGGTTGTCAGTATGAAATACATCCTGGAATCTGGAAGCACACCCACATCCACGACGAAGTGCAGCAGCCTTCATGGTGATCTCTGACAGCAGGCGATAGTACTTGGTCGCTGACATAAGATCCTCGTTGGCAGCCCTTAGCTGATTAATCGCCTCCTGTGCATTGCTCATGGTGATAGCTGAGTTTGAAGCCATCTCCTCGTTACTGTTTATGAGAATGGGGTGCAAAGTAAGAATGCCCTCGAAGTTGTTGCTCAACAAAATTTCGTTGTCGTGATATTTCGTGTGAAAAGAGGGTTCTGCTGGCATCTGTGCTGGCAAGACAGGGTCAAACACAGGAACAGTGGCCCGATATTGTTGCCACGACGATCTCATCGACGTTTGTTTGGGCGACCCAGAAGTGGAAAGCAGCTCCTGACCATGCGGAGCGGTTTTGATTGTCTGCAGCTGTAGTTCTTCAACATCTTTGTCTACATGGAAGCCATTTTCCATGGCTGATGTACTGGTGGACCGTTCACAAGCGGTAACAGTGGTCGATCTGTGAGAGACATTATCTTCACAAGTTGTAACTACGTTAAGATGAGGACGAGATTGCTGCTTGCTTGAAACAGATAATCTGCTGTCAGACCCTCCCACATCAACATCCCTAGAATGCTTCTTGTCTTCCTTTGGACCTCTAGGTATGAGGCCTGAGTTCTGAACTTCCTTGAACGACTCTTGCTGAACAGTCCGCAGCTTGTTCTTTTTGGTAGATGATATCTTCCAGGAAGAGTTTTGCTGGCCAGTTGATAGAGCTGACTCCGAACCTGCAAAGCGATGACGAGTGCTGACACCTTCTTCCGAAGGCACGCCTTCCCAAGCTCTGAGAGGTCGTTGTTCTTTGGGGCTGCAGACCGTCAAAGCCATAGCTACCAGTCGCTACTGATTATCAGCAAGATTGCCAATCTGCTCAGGGATCAATACATACCTTTCTTAAGAAAGAGTCATGAGCAAGAATGAGTAGATTGAAGAATGGTGAGAGTCTGCTCGAAGTATGCGTGCCGCGGGAATGTGACCTTGGAGTCAAGTGGCAAGCTCTGTCCACCACAAAATCGATTACTGAGGGACAGAATGAGAGGACTACAGATCATGAATAGAACCGCTGTGTGGAGGTAGCTTGACTTCAACGATAGCGATAGGGATACAGTTGCCGGTAGAACACGATTAGTTCCATATATTCACGAATGTTGCAAGATGGAGGTAACACAGTAAGACCACAACTACACGTGTACTGACAACACCGGCGCAAGGGCAATACATGTCTGTGACTGTGTGTTCTCCAGGATATGCATGGGCACCAATACTCAGCATTCTTGTCAGATAAGGAAGCCCGCCCCTAACCGGTATGAATAGAACACAATGGGCTTCCATTCCATAGAGTCATGTCTTGATGAGACTTAAAGCAGAACTCAAGCACTGTTTGGAAGCCCATAGGAAAATAAAAGAGAGATAATGGAGTGGTACCCCTGACCCAGGTCATTCTCGCCACTGCCAAAGTATTCCTCAGTTTGGGATGTAACTTTGGAAGGAATATGGGATTCGCTAGAAGCAAGACGAAAAACGGCAGGAAGGAATTATTGTGGGATGTCATGATATCAGCTGTGGTTGGAGAAGCAAGCACAGCTGCCTTGATCAAATTCCCACCACAGAATAGGCGGAAATCGTACCATGAGGCCTAGGGTTTCACGGACTGCTTGAATGATTACAAACTCTGAAGGTAGGATCTAGCAAAGTAGACAATTTGACGTTGGTCAGGCGAGGAATATCATCCAGAAGATCGGGGCTGGCAAGATGCCCCAGTGACATTCTTGAAGGTATCACCCAAGAAACAGTGCAAGTATCTGCTGTGGAACCATGTTTGGGGCATAAGGATATACTGTCAGAACTCAATTGTGTGAACTGTGATGCGATTTAGTACCGGTGTGGTAGCAATGTGAAGGAGAGGTCTTTGATAACGGTCTGGCAGGGCCTTGACATCTTTCCCACCATCAAAATCTCAAGGCCAGCTATCCTTCGACATCGTTGTGCATTTTAGAGATGTGTTCGTAGCACTCTGCATGGTAACGATTGTATAGAGCTTCTCCAGTAGGGAGAGCTGAGTATAGATTGTGCGTTCGATGTATGTGTAAACCAATGGAGGTTGTGGCATTATCACACAGGACGAAATGGCTGTCGCTTCGAAGGAGACATATGGATCATCAAGCACATAATGTAGGAGGACGTCAAAGGGATCGAGTGATGTTAGGACACAAGGCCCCTCCAAAGTCGACATCTCCAAAGTACATGATCCTTTAAAGGTGTTACGAGCAAAATGATGCAGGCAACGGTTTCCGAAAGCCTCTATGCCGAAAGAGGCTAAATCACAACAGCAGAGCAAGCCAGCGGCGAACACTTCAGAGATGTCAACATTATGAATTTCAGGCCATCGAATGTGTGCTTCTGCATATCCTAAGACAAATGAATCCACGGGGTCACGAAAGTCCTATGGACTTCGAATGGCAGACTCATGCACCTGCAGACGTAACATCGCCTTTCCACAAGCTCGCCATGGAACATAATCAGAATCAGAAGAAGAGTAAAGCTATTCCAAAGCCCTGGTAGATCGTTCGCTAACGTGCATGCTGCTTAGGAACTCATAGTGTCCTCGAATCTCCACAGAAATACGCTGCGCCTGCACTTCGAGAACCAAACTCGCAACCATTCCTCTTCTCGCAGATCCCTCCACTGTCAAAGCCTCCTGCCTCACCCTATCGCGCTCCATCCTTTACCACCCCTCGAAAACCACTCGAGGTCGACTTCTCGTCGGGCCCTGAGAATGTCTCATCCCCTGACCAAGCCGACAACGAAGACACGCCCGAAGCGCCAAAGGCAGCACCCATCACATTTACTGCAAACGAAGGCAAGCCGAAAGAGAAGCGCAACTCTCTGTTTGGCCTTTACGGTAGATTCGCACCGAGCTCCGGGCGTGGCGATATGGGAAAGTCTAGTCACAGCAATGTCCTCATACGGCGCGTGCAGAAACGACGGAGGCGAGAGCAGAATCTAGGGCGTCAACTGGTGCGTGCTCAAAGGCCAAGCGAAGACACAAGCGAGGACGAATCCCCCGTCAAGGAGAGGAGGAACCCAATACCACCCGTTCATGAGGTGGGCTATATGGCAGGCCTTTTCACATTCATCGAAAGCTTTCCAAATGCACCCTCGCTGCTGGCCAAGTACCTACAATTATTCTTCAACTCCGCAATCATACTTGGCTGCCTCTATGCCATCTACTCCTTCTGGACGACCATACAGGCAGATGTCAATCGTGCGAGTGAGGATGCAGCAGCAGAGACTTTGGCCGAAATGGCTGCATGCGCTAAGAGCTACGTTGACAACCGTTGCGCTGGCGATAGCCGACTACCAGCACTTGAGACTGTCTGTAGCAACTGGGAATTGTGCATGAATCGAGATCCGAACAGTGTCAAGAGAGCAAAACTGAGTGCTCACACTTTTGCCGAGATCTTGAATAGCTTTGTGGAGCCGATAAGTCTGAAAACAATGGTAAGTTGATTTCCTTCTCCTAGCCTATCCCTCAACCACAACCGGCCGGTCTTTTTGGGACAAATTGCATAGAAAAAGTCAAAAACAATCAACAGCCGGTATTCGCTGGTGGTCACCCACCCAACTACTAACCGGCCGGCACATGGCTTAAGTATGGCTGAGCGAACGGGAAGCCCTGTGTTCCATGTCCTGTGGTCGATTGCGAAATGATTGAAGGATATTCCAGCTATATTCCTGGTCGTAGCGCAGGCTCTCTTGAGCCCAAACATGAAGATCGTCTCCTCGACTACAGCTCTCTTTGGCACCATTCATGTGCTGACCTAGATGAAATGTTTACATGGATACTAATATACATCCCAGCTTTTCGGAATCCTGATCGTCGTTCTCAGCCTGGGCATCTCGAACGCAACCTTCAGCTTCCTCCGAAAATCGCACGATTTCAATTCTCACGCACCGGAGATGCCTCGGCACCCCTCGGCACAGTACCCGCCTCCACAGTCTCACAGCATGAGCCAGTATGGTGGAACGCCTGGAACTGGGTATGCGGGCCAGCAATTGGGCTGGCAGGATGATCCATGGGGTGGAGGTGAGTCCAGACAAGATATGAAGCGCTTGGAGTACTCGAGAAGTCCTAGTAAGGGGGGTCGGGGGTCACGGTAGTGTGACTCGATGAGTATGTCAGACGGACTTGTGATGACGGAGAAAAAGCATGATAGGGTGTTGTTGAGCGGAGCAGCAGGGGGGCAATTGAT